TCTTAGCTTCTACTCTGTTGCTGTGACAGAACACTCTGACAAAGTGACTGAAGAGAGGAAGGAATTATTCTGGCCTACAATTCAAGAGCACAGTCCACTCTGGCCAGGAAGTCAAGGCTGCAGAAGTCTGAAGCAACAGGTCACATTACATCCACAATCGGGAAGCAGACAGCAATAAATGCATGCTGTGCTTGGCTCCCTTTCTCTATGTACATAGTCCAGATGCCAGCCAGGGAATGGTGCCACCCACAGTGGACAGGTCCTCCCACATCACTTGGTGCAAATAAGATAATCCCCATAAGCATGACCAGAGACTTGTCTCCCAGGTGATTTCTAGATTCTGCAAAATTAGCAATTAATGTTAGCCATCCTGGTCATGTCACCCCAAACCAGAGCCCATAGGTTTTTAGAGAAAAGTTATCTGATTTCTTTCATTAAGCTCTGAAGAATAAAGTTCTATGATATGGTAAGCAAGACCTCACAAACGTGTATGTCATGTGGTATCAGGTGATTGAAACAAAATCCATAGTGATTTTGAAGGGTTTGCAGTAGAGCATACCATGGAGATGACTTTAAAAGAATTTATTACGAATCCCTTAAAATAAATGAATTTATTAGCATCCCTTAGGGATGTGGTTTTATCTTCGTGGGTTTGTTGAAAGCTGTTCATAGTAGGGTGTAGGTGGAAGTATTAAATAATCAAATATTTTTTATAAACCAAATGCACATGATACTTTTCACTCATTTATTTAAAAATGTGACTGTGTGGGAGTACATTCTATCTTACTTTGCATTTGAAAGCATAGATTCCAAACTCAAGGCAGCAATGAAGCTCCACAGACCACAGGGATTAAACAGCATCTGGATACAGTTCCTCCTTTCCAGCATCTTATAAAGAGAATAAAATACCCATCGGGTTCAAGACAGCACAAAAACTAAGCTGGTAGGCGGAAGTGGGCTCAGCAGTTAAGAGCACTTCTGTTCTTCCAGAGGAGCTGAGTTCGATTTCCAGGATCCATATCAGATGACTTATAACCTCCTGTGTAACTCTAGTTCTAAGGGATCTCACACCCTCTTCTGGTCTCTATGAGTACCCTCACACAATGTCACATACACACACACACACACACACACACACACACACACACACACACACACATAAAATAAATATTAAAAAAATTAAACTAAGTTTAGGTAGTAAGAGGAAAGTAACAGTTAAGGCCAATTCTATTACAGACAAAAAGGCCAGGGCGGTGGCACTTGGGAGGCAGAAGCAGGTGGATTTATATGAATTTGAGGCCAGCCTGGTCTACATAGCAAGTTCCAGGCCAGCCAGGGCTACGATGTAAAACTCTTGTTTCAAATGAAAAAATAAATAAATAAACAAAAAGACAAAAAGAGGGGCTACAGAAATGGCTCAGTGGTGAATAGCACTTACAGCGCAAGCGTGAGGATCTGAGGTTAAGTCCCCACGGGAAAAGCCACTAGGGCGTGGACAGGTGGATCACTGGGGCCTGCTGGCTGCCACTAGTCTCTCTCTGGGTTCAGTGAGAAACTCTGTGTCAAGAGAATAAGGGGGAGAGTGATACAGTGGGATACCCCTCAGCCTCTGCATGGACATAAACACCACACACACACACACATACACACACACACACACACACACACACACACACACACACACACACGCATGCACACATGCACACATGCACGCACCACGAAGGGGGGGGAGAGAATGAATAGAAATATATGTAAGTATCTGTACTGTTAAGATCTGGTATTTAGAAGATGTCGTAGACTCCTGATTTGTTTTTTAGGCAGCGTACAAGGTCAACAGTATGAATCACTGGAGACTGAGTCCTACCAGTCCCTTTGTGGGACTCTAGACAGAACCAAGCGGGAACTTTCCAGACCTCTTGGAGCTCATCTGAGCTCATTCATAGCCTTACACCCAGAATGAAGAAGAGCTGAACATAAATGACTCTTCCAGCACCCAGAGTCCCTGAAGAGCTGGACACAGAAGGGGCTGACCCTGGGCCCTGGATACCTCTACCTAGATGTGATTCTGGTAACCACAGGGAACCAGCACTCACTCCCATTTACCAGGACAAGCAGGGAGGGTAGCCTCCGCAGAGTCTAAGCTATATTCGTGAAACAAGGTGAAACTTGAAAGCCAGCTCACAGAGTGTCAGCCGGAAGGCAACTTAAGAGCTTAAAGAAGGGAAGAGCAGACCCAGTCAGTAAGCTTCATGTTGAATCTGGTGCAGTCGGCAGTGTGGAACTAATCCTGGGTTGTGTAGACAGATTCAGGCTTGCCAGGAGCTTTCTATGATTCAGTGGACTTTTGAATTGGTGGGGCTGGACGAGAGACTGATGATCACAGTTAAAGCTGGAACTTATGGTGAATACCTTGCCTTCTCTCCAGTTCTATTCTCTTCTCTATCCTGTTACATCCCTGGGATGCTGACCTACTTGGCTTGGGTGGATGCAATCTATCTTAGTTTCTTTCCTGTTGCTGTAACAAAATACCTCAAGTGGATACTGTAAGCATTGCAGCTTGGATGGAAAGGGATCCTGGCAGTCAGAGCCAAGGAATACCACAAAGTCACCGGAAGCGTAGCAGCGGCTTACAGCTGTGCTCCAGGGAAAGGTTTCTCCAATGTAACAACTCCGCTCCAGCAGGGGAGGATTTCCCCAGCAAAGTTGCTACAGTTCTTCTCAGATGCCCTGGAGTGTAACAGCTCTGCTCTGATAGGGGAAGGTTTCCCCAGTGAAAGTGTCTGCTCCACTCTTCTCCGCTCAGGCTCCCGGGAAAAGTTGTTACTTCTCTGCTCCACTGCACTCAGAGGAAAGAAGGTCTCACACAAACCTCATTCAAGAGATTCGTTGGGAGGGAAGAATCCAGGAGGGTGGCTGCCTCTACCATGGTGGAAAAAGGCAGCTCCCAACTGAACAGGCACAGGGCTCATATAGGACTTCTTAGGGGTGGAATTTTTCCAGGGTGAAGATTGTCAGGGTGAGAATTGGTGGGATTTCAATTACTGAGCTTGGACAAGCTTAGAGATTGGCTGGATTTTGTGCTCAGGGATCGATTGGTTTTCCCGCTCCGGGATTGGTTGGTTTTTGTATTGAGTTGGCCAGGGGCAGAGTGTGTTTCTTTGGCTCTGGTTTCAGGGCCAAAGTGTATTTCTTTCACTGGCTCTGGTTTCAGGGCTAGGGTGTGTTTCTTTGGCTGGTCCTTTTACCCTACAGATACTTTATGAAGAATAGCAGTTTCGCTGGCTCACAGCTGTGGTGTTGGCTGGAAAGTCTAAGAGCATGGCACAGCCATCTGCTCAGCATTGGTGAGGGGCTTCTTGCTGCACCCTAGTATATCCAAGAACATCACAGGAAAAGGGTTCTAGCTCGGTTCTCTCTTCCTATAAAAGCTGTCCTGTCGTTCTCATCCTCAGGACCCCATGTCACCCCCATTTCCTTTCAAAGGCTCCACCTCCAAGTACCATTAATATGTGAATTTGAGGATTATGTCTCCAACAGGGGCACTCCTGGGAAACTGTTCAAATCATGGCAGAAGCCTGTCCTCTCAACTCTGTTGGGTTCAGATAACAGCTGAAGACTCCAGAGACAGAGTGCATTGTTAGAATTTCCTGATTTCCTTCTTACCTCCCTGAGGGGAAGTCACCTCCGCTGAGGTCCAGGGCTCGTCTTCCGGTAGCCCTTTTGGCACTGCTCTTTCGGACTGTAATAGCTGCCCTTTGTATTCATCTTCCCACCTGACTCTTCTAACCAGACTTGCCAGCTGGAAGGAGCTCCACTGCCCCTTATGCTTTCCCTGCAACTTACCCACACATATCTTGTGTGTGTGCACACACATATGCACATGTCTGTGCATCCATGCAGGAAGATACGCTCACCCATTTGTGTGCATACTGGGGGCAGAAGTCAACACTCAGCATCTTCTTTGATTGGCCCCCTCCTTTCTTTTTGAGACAGGGTCTTTCACTGAACCTGGAGGTTATCAGTTGGCCAGACTGGCTGGCCAGTGAACCCCCTGCCTCCACCTCCCAGCTCCGGGATTATAGGTATTCTCTAGGAAACTCGGCTTTTTTTTTTTTTTAAGTGGGTGGTGGGGATCCACATTGAGCACCTGCACGTGCAGGCAAGCACCCTGTCACCGAGCTGTGACCCCAACCTAAAACCCTCTTCGCAAGAGTCGTTATCTTTTAGCGATATGAAGGTGATGGGTGTTTGTGGACAAAGTGGTAGGGCGAGGCTTTATGCCGCAATGCCACAGAGGGGCTTGAGTGGGAGCTGAGATGAAATGGGGCCTGAGGTCTGATAACTGAAGCTGGCTGTGGAGACACGAAGGCCTCTGCACAGTACTCCCCCACTCTCTGTGTGATTTGAGATTCTGGAACACTGAACGGCGAATGGATGAACAGTTAAGTGAAAAACCACTCTGCCTCTGGGAAACTGGTTGGTTTTTGCTTGGCAGCTGCCTGTGACGTCATTCAGGGTGCTCAGTTTCAGAAATGTAACAGAAAAAAAAAAACACGCCGAGGCAAGATGTAAATGAGGAATGCTATTTTTGTGAAAGTTAATCAAATGCTGCTCAGTGGAAAATATCAAGGTGACATTGCTGAGCATTTTTCATGAATGAGGAGGGAAGCAAACCAAAATTACATATGGGTTTCAAAAGCTGTTCTGTGTGGACTTCTAAGTCACCTGGGTGGGGAGGATACAGGGAAGGTACGTATGAACCAAGAAGTCCACACAGAATAAATTTTTATCTTGAATGGGATTGATACAGAGGACTTCATTAAACTGTCTATTCTTTTAGAATTGCTTTCAAGGTTTATTGGAAATTTAAAAAGCATGGCCATTTTAGTTAAAGCAAGCCTTTCTGGTTTTAGAAGACGTGCTGTGATGTTACCGCTGATTCCATACAGTCCGCATTTTTCTAACATTAGCTTTTTTCCCCTGTCTCTCCCACTCTTCAGTTCTGTCTGCTCTATGGGACGAAGCTGGTGTTCCAGGAGCGGGGCTGGTACTTAGAGCATAAGTACCTGACTCCCACAGCCAGCATGCGGATCAGGGCTCAGGTAAGAGTGTCCGGTGCAGAAGAGGTACTTTGTGCACTAGCCTTTGGCTTCTTGCTCTTTTAGAAAACAGTCCTGCTTATGAGTCTCTGAGCGCTGACCTTTGACCTCTAGGACTTTGTGTTCCATAGTCTCTTATGGTTCTATTAAGTGACAAGGACTGACTCGCTGTGCATGAACTTCCTGACATCGAAAGTGGACACGGGAAGGTGTGTTTTACTTGTCTTGGGGGCGGGGGTATTAACAATTTTTCTATTCCTTCCAAAGTATATTAACTCATTCTTCATATCCAGAATATCCTGCGTATTTTTATGTCAGTAGCAACCATGGAAGTGAAGAGCTACTTAATGCCTGAACATAAGGTGGGGCCATTAACCAATCTTAAGACACTGCTCTAAGGAGAGATAACACAGACAGCAGCAGCAACAGTAAAGCCTGTTCCTAGCACATCTCCTCTGAGAAGCACAAAGAGGTAGAAGACTCAGTCTGAGCAGTATTCAAAGGGATACTGTTGTAGTGAGAGTCCCAATACGGACTTTTAAAAACACAAACAGTGTGGTTAATGTGCTCTGTGACACTCCACTAAAAAAACTGATTATCCCTTTGCCTGCAGCTATCAATTGCAAATAGCTTCTTGGTTAGGAGTGGGACTGCTTCCCCCTCTCAGTGCTGGGACCCCATCTGCCTTGAACCTGGATGGGTCTTGTGCATGAGAGCACAGTCTCCATGAGTTCATGTGTGCATCAGTCCTGTTGTGTCTGGACGATGATGTTCCTTAGAGTTATCCATCACCTCTGACTCTTACCATCTTTCCACATCCTCTTCCACACAGATCCCTGGGCCTCAAGGGGAGTGGTTTGATAAAGGCATCCCACACAGGACTGTGTTCCAAGTCTCTCATTCTCTATACATTGTCATGCTGTGGGTTGTAGTCGGAAGTTTTTTCTGTGTCCCACCTGGCCCACGGTCAGGACAAATCTCTCACCCACCAGTCCTGCAGCTTCTCAGACCCAAGTAAACACACAGAGCCTTATATTATTTACAAACTGTATGGCCATTAGCTCAAGCTTATTACTGACTAGCTCTTACTCTTAAATTAACCCATAATTCTTATTTATGTTTAGCCATGTGGCTTGGTACCTTTTCTCAGTTATGGCTTCACATCCTGCTTTCTCTGTGTCTGGCTGGCGACTCCTGACTCAGCCCTTCCTCTTCCCAGAATTCTCATCTGCTTACCCCACCTATACTTCCTGCCTGGCTACTGGCCAATTAGCATTTTATTTATCAACCAATCAGAGCAACACATATTCACAGTATACAGAATGACATCCCACAGCAGTGGGTCTCTGTTAATTCCCATCTACTGCAAGAAGTAGTTTCTATGTCAGATCTCCTAAGGAAGGGGAAATGTTTCAGAGAGACAAAGGGAAACCAGAATAGGAGGATTAAGTAGAGAGGGAGAGGGGAGGACAGGGTAAATTTGGGGAACTTGGGAGGGACAACTAACACTAAGGCCATTTTAAAAGTGATATGGAAACATACTACTGTAGAGACTTCCTAAAAATCTATACATGTAGGAAAGGAATCTAAATGGAATTGCCATACAATGGGGAGGACCATGTCCCAACTAGATTTCTTATGCCACCAACAAAAACCTTGTACAAGGAAAGGGTTACATCTTATTGAATTATTGGCCAATGGGGTCCCATGGAAGCCCCAAACATCACAGGCTATTACCAAGGCCATAGATTGTGCATCACAACTTGATGGTAGAACCCTATTGCTAAAGACACCTATGTCATTCATTTTTATCTTATATATATGAGTGTTTGCCTGAATAATATGTCTATGAACCATGTAGTACAATGTCCTCAGTGACCATAAAATGGCATTGAATTCCTTGGGACTGGAGTTTCAGACAGTTATGAACCACCATGTGGGTGTTGGGAATTGAACACATTTCCTCTAGAAGAGAATCCAGTGCCTTAACAGCCAAGCCATCTTTCCAGTGCCTCTGATACAGAAACTCTGAGGGCATGCTTGAATGGTAAGGGAAGCAATGACTAGATGGCAGCTGCCTTTGGTGGGGACATTTCACAAAGACAGTGCTCGCTTTGAAAATAAGCAAGAAAACCAGATTTTTGTTGTGGTTGTTATTGTTTGTTTTTCAAGACAGGGATTCTATGTATATCCCTGGCTGTTCTGGAACATGCTCTGTAGACCAGGCTGGCCTCAAACTCAGAGGTCGCCTGCCTCTGCCTCCAAAGTGCTGGGATTAAAGGTGTGTGCCACCACCACCTGGCTAAGGAAACCACTTTTTAATTTAAACAATATTACACAGAGAAGAGAGGCTAGAAATATAGTAAGAGCCAGAGGACCAGGACACTACTTATTAGTGTCTTCTACATAGGACAGGACAGCTGCACTCATGAATGGTCACCTGAAATGGTCAACAATATGATCACCTGAAAAAGACCTATGTAATGACAACAGTTGGCATGCCAATAGGGATGGAAGTCCCTCAAGGCCCCATCCCTAGATGAAGAGGTACAGGCAATCAATGGCTGCTATCTGAAGGAGAATTCATTTTCTCCAGGGACAAGCTCATGATTGGTTATCTAATCCCAAGCAATCACCTCTAAACATATGTACATAGAAGCAACACTGAATTGACTCAGTAGATGTTTTACATATACTTGAGTATATGTGTGTGTGTGAGATGTATGTTTGTAACAATAATAATTAAAAAAGAGGTCATGAACTTGAGAGAGAGTGGGAGGCCATGGGAGGAGTTAGAGTGGGGAGAGAGAGAGAGGTGCTGAATAATGTAAATACAGTATTCATGACATTCTCTGAAATTTTTTTACTAAAAAATTATATAAAGGAATATTTGAATCTATGCCACCAGTAATGTGGAATTAGCAGAAAAGACAAATACAGCAGAGGAAAGTTGAGTAAAGACCACCTTTTATGTAAGACATGAAAGTGCTTTTGTATTCTTGTAGTACAACATGATTTCCACACTTGTCAACCATGGGACCCTCACAGCATCCTGGGAGGTGAGCAGGAAGGAGCCAGCCACCTCAGAACTAGCTTTCTCTGGAAGGCCAAATGGGGTTGCTCAAAGGCCTCCTTGTCAGATTTCTAGGCTGCCAACTGGGAGCACGCAAGTGTTCTTAAAGGGGAGAGAACAGGGGAGCTGCCATAGCTCCATCCTCTCCCACCTCCATCACACCCCTTTACAGGAACCTCGTCACCCATGAAATCAGGAGCTTTTCCTCACCAGTAGGTTTAGGGTCTTCAGTCAACTGAAGATGGATACCCAGAACCAGGAGGGATCTGAGAAACCAATGAGAGGGACTGGGGTTCTCTGTGTTCCTGAAAGTGTCCTAGGTGCTTCCCTCAATATTTCAAGTTCCCTGACTCCTCAGGTGTGATTCTCTTTTGGGCTAGCCTATCCCCTTCCCTGAGTGTTATTCCAGGTGTTACAATATTTTTCTGAACAGGTTCCTTCTTTCTTTGTCATGTTATCTCTGGCACATTTAGTCTCTATTCCCCACATTGATTTTTATTTCTCTATACATTAAAATATTTTTGTTTTATAGCCTTTAGCTACCAATTCCAAGTTCTTAGGTCTTCAATATTTTATTTCCTACTATGTCAGCTGTGTGTCTAGTTATCTTCTGTTGTGTGCTGCTAAGTGTTTTTGAGTAATGATCTGTACGGTTTTATGTAAAGCTGATTGAAGTTACTAATAGGTTTTCTGTGCCTGGATAATAGGTTTCTCTGCCAATGCACTAAGCCATATCAAGCTGAATTGAAAAAGTATAACAACAGGTTTATTTGAGCAAAACAACTCCCAGGTGGGTTCTCCAGTCCCAGAGATTGAGGCCAGAGAAGCCTCACACTGAGCTAAAGCAGGGAGATTATATAGCCTGTAGGTGAGGGATGATGATGTATCTGCCGAAAGCTGGGCTTGTGCCAAGTATAGTCAAAAGCTGAAAGCCTAGGCAGGGACTTAGGCTGCTGGTGCAGCAGGGGAGGAAGTTGCAATAGTCACCAGGAATGTGGCACTGGACTTTTTGGTGCCTTTTCTTTTTGGAGACTCTCTGAGAGGGCAGGGCTTGAGGGCTTGGAGGGAGAGAGAGAGAGACAGAGAGAGAGAGAGAGAGAGAGAGAGAGAGAGAGAGAGAGAGAGAGAGACAGGAATGGGGCTTTCCAGATAGTGCAGGGGTGAGCTGGAGGTTCCAACTGAACAGTTACTTCACCTTACAAGACACTCTGAAGAGACATTCAGGAGGAGGCCAGCCTTAAACCGAATGCCTTGCTTGAGGTTTCTTCAAAAGATCCATAAAATTCAGGGAGGAATTACTTCACCTGCCTGTTCCCTAGCATGCAGTTGGTTGTGGCAAGGGTCTCCTGTTGAGATTTTTGCCTAGCGTTGCCTCTGGTGTTTTCCTATCATGATCTCCTGCCTCCTCCTCAGCTACTGTCCCACTGCCAAAATGAAAGTTCAGATCTGCTGGAAATGATATATGGCTTCGGGGAAAATGCAATTTTCTTTTTTGTTTCTCCAGATTCCTTTTTTTTTCTTAAAATGGCTTTTATTGTTCTATCAAGTCATTGATGCTTTGAAGATGTTTCCCAGAATTTTCCCAAATATTTTGATAATGTTCAGCAGAAACATTGGTGTGAGAAAACAATCTATTCTCAGAAGCAGCTAGCCCATCTGGTGTCATTCCTCACAATCCCACAACCCTGTGAATGGCTCTTGCTTTGCCTCGCTCACTGATGAGGAACTGGGGTTCAGAGTGAAAAAGTAACCAGCCCAATGTCAGAGAAACCTGTACCTTCCCAACCCCAAGCCTTTACTTAATGTGCTTGCTAGAAAATGGTACCAGCAAACACTCCTGAAGTCCATGCTTGGCTCCTAACCACATGTTGCTAAAAGGATCAAGAAGTCTTGGAAAAAAGGCTAATTCTAGGGTGAAGACAAAAAGTCA